AGGGAGAGAGAGAGGTATCCCGGAATAAGAATGGCCACGGCGCGTCACGTGCCTCGCATTGTTCTCATTACTGTGGTGGAAAGGAAGGTGGAGATCGAGGATGATCCAAGGAGGATAGTCGAATTCTGGAACGATGTAAGGAGGATCGATGAGGTTGGAGGATAGTTTTGACTTGAATGGAGATTTTTCATCGAGAAGTTGAAAAAGTAACTAGTTGAAAGCGATTACTTATTAAAATTTGTTTGTCGTAGCTATTGTTATAGTTGATCCAGCAATAAATTATCGAAGCAATTTTGTCTTTAACCTCAATTTTGCTCATTGATATAGTCGATCGGTGAGTTGTTTGTGTAAAGGAATCGAATGAAGATTCCGAAGTTTAGGTTGATTCGTAATTTTTAGGTTAGTTTTTGAATAAAGGAATCGTGAACGTTCGAAATTTAGGTTAATTCGTAATTTTTGTTCTAATAAATTTTATTATTTGATCGTGATAAACTTAATACCTGATTTTTGCCCCGATTTTATTTGAAATTTCATTTAACAATAGCGTATATATATTCGGTATATAATTCGGCCGTGTTCGCCGGTAATTACGTTACATCTATGCATGCACGAAACAGGTAAATACGATTACAACGATTTTTCTCGGGCCTAATTAATTCGCAACGAGCAATTATCATGCTCGCCGGATATTAAGGAAAAGTTAAGCCGGCCCGACGAAAAATTTCATCGAACACGCGATACGCCGCGGGCGTGTCTTTCGTTTGCTTAACCAACGAGTTACCCATTTAACGCAATTTCGACGATCGAGCTTCGAAAAAATGTTATCCAACATCTTTCTTATGTTTATAACCGGTAATTACTCGAGCGTAATTACACGGGGGAAAAAGAGATCGGGCCGATGAATGGTTATACATTGTTGCAAATTACATTCACGGTCCAAAAAATTTCGACATTCGTCGAGTTTTATATATTTTTGAAACTGTTCCTTAATTAGTATTCTTTGTGTTATTATTCGCTAGGTAAATGAAAAATTAATTTCTCTTTAACAAAATTTGTTTAAATGTAGGATATTTGGAAATTTTGGGAGTTTTTGCAAATTTGAAATTCTGAAATTAAGGAATTGAGTGAAAAATTAATACAAAAGTTTAATTATAATTTTCAATATTCCGAATTTCGAATTTGGGAATTGAGGAGATTGAAAGTAAATTTACCTTAAAAATAAAAGTTGTAAAAACTTATAAAACATTTTAATTCTGAAAAATTAAAGTTTCGATTGAAAAATTCTGAAATTTGAATCATATATATTGAATTTCAAATTTGAAAACTTGAACGAATCGTAATTAAAATTTTGGAAACAGAACTTTCTGCGGATATTTTTGAAGAAAAAAAAAAAAGAAATCAAAACAAGCCAAACTTAACTTTATCACCGATTAACATCTTAAAATTGCAAAGTATACGTACATCAATAATAAACTAAACTCCATCCCACCTTTTATCACCATTATCGAAAACCATTATCGCGCCATAAAAGCCCTTCATTTCTGGCACGTTATCCCGCGACAGCAGAGCCCCGCCGCGGTGTCGAGGAGAAGCGCGCGTGGAAGAGACGACGCGCATTAAATTAAGTCAGTTTTTACGAGGCTGGTGTGGAAATGAATACGCCACGGCATGCCTACCTCGGTACGCGATATCATAAACTGCGCCGTATCACCGTAACGCGTGGATACGACCACCGGCCACGAAAGCGAGCGGGTTCGCGCGTATCTACGCGCCTCCATGCACCCACGATACGCCGCTCTCGTACTCCCTCTTATCAATCCGCTCGACGCCTTTTCGATTTCGAGATCGTTCTCTGTTTATTTCGTTTCCAACGCCCGAGGGAAACGAATTTTCCTTTCGAATGATGGCTTGCAACGAATTTTTTAAGCCGCGTTCCGAGAAAAGCAAGATAATTTTTCCGAGTCTCTTTCTTTTATGCGTAAATTGAATCTCTTTCATCTCTCTCAATTTCTCCTTTTCTCAAGTTCTCGAGAATTTTCAATATTTTACACTTTCAAGTGTAAGTATAATAAATCTATCCAATTCTGCGAGATTGTGTATTTCAGAAAAACAAGTAAGATGATATTTATCGAAATAATCTTTTAAGAACAATTTAACTCTATATGCGATAAAACATTATGATGTGACGTTCAAAAAAGGAAGGAAAATAATTAAATAAATAAAGGGGAACAATTTACCCGATTCAGAGCGCGAAGGCGAACAAAATGGCGTCGATCGATCGCAGAGGAATGAAAGGCCCGGTGGAGAACACGCTCGACACGAGGTGAACTCGGCCGAGAGTGCGCCAATTAATTCACCGCGGTTTATTTATTTATCGAACGGTCCAGCGCCGTACCACGGCCACTTAATCACCACGATCTACCTTTGCGAAAAAAAGTAGCCTTGCCCGATCTTCCTTGCCGCGCAGATAAATCAGCGAGCCGAGTCCGCGAACCGAATCCGCGAACTTAACCTCAACGAACGGTGGAAAGATCCCTTTTCGGCCCCGTTTCTAACGAGCTCGCGTGTTCGCGAGCCGCGCGTTTTGTTTCACGCCGCGGGTACGCTCGAGTTTCGAGCCGATATGCAGATGCAGAAGTTGGTTGGTTGCAAGAGGGCGCAGGTAGAAGAAGAAAGGACGCTAGAGACGCGGTAACCCGCAGGGAGAGCGGCTATCCTTTTTCCAAACTCCTACGCGCTCGCGAGGCTGTCCCTAATGTCTAATGAATGGCCCCCAATAAATTCATAAGCCGGCCAAAACATGGCCGCGAGATGCAGAACACGGACGCCGCTCTTCTCGCGGCATTAACTCGGGTCCCGAAACTACGTTTTATTTGGACTGGTGTTCGAGTGAAGACATGGCGGCGATTTTGAAAAGTGTAATCGGTTGTAGGACTTTGGTCGAAGCTTGAATTTGAGTGGTGAGAGTATGATAAGTAAATTGTATTGTAAAATGTTGTGGTGGATATTTATGCAGAATAAGTAATGAGTAAATTTATAGATAAGAACGAGTAATCGATTGCACATAAATTTGAAAAAATGTATAGAGTATGTATGACTTAAAAAGTGTCTCGTGCAATTACTCTTTAGACAATTGTATTATAATCAATAATAGAAGAATTATTTATATATAAAATTGGGTAAAGTATGATTCTTTTCTTCCTTCAATTCTTTCTTCTTCAATTCTGCACTTTATTACAACGATATATGTATGTAATGGAATTAGACTGAGAATAATATTAGAATTTTCATCTTATAAATTTTCGTTTTCTTTTTTCTTAATGAATGATAAATAACCGAACTTGATTTTTATTTTTAATAACTTTAATTTGTAACTATGATATGATTATTACATTTCATCTATTTTTCCCAGAGGTTAAGTTATTTATTTTTCATAAAAGTAACTAGGCTGATGAAATTCTAGCTAGATGGCAGCACTGAATGTAATCTATTATTTTCTCATTCTCAGGTTAGAAGCTAACCAAGTTTAGAATTTATCAAAACTATTTCCAAATATTTTAAATTTCGTATAGAAAGACGGAATTAGAATTTCATGTATATTGGACAGCTCTTGGACCAAACGAAAGAGTAAAAGAGACAAAGTACAGGTGAGTAGATATATGTATCGAATCTGTCGACCAGACGAATTCCATCCATCCAACCTTCTAACAACCCGATCCTATTGCGCGTAATTGAAAAATGCTCGTGGTGTTCCAGTTCATCCGTTACCCCGTGGTAAGTTGAGGAGGAGGAGGAGAGATGATGGGTCGCTGTCGGCCCAAACTGTACGCCCCTTATTGTTAAAACGAAACGACGTTTCTGTGTACCTCGTCGCCTCGTTCCGACGATACGTTTTCATTAGACGCCAGATATCAGCGATACTCGCGGACGAGTTCATGGCTGGATCCGCAGAGTTGTCGATCTCGTTTGACACGAGGCTGATAGAACACACTCGTTTCGAACTATTGTCTCGTAGGTAAAGGTGTTTTGTTATTAATCGATCAGTTATAATTTATTCAACGGATATTTGTTTAATCATTAAACATTATTTGGATATTAATTACCTTATGCATAAAACACGATATATTTATTTTAGAATCGTAAAAAGATAACAAGTGGATATGGATATGTTTATACAGGTTGTAAAATAACCTTCTATTGGTAAATATATTTTTCACACAAATAATTTATATTATATTACATTATATCTATGTATATGTTTTCAAAAATATGAAATTTTATTCCAGATATAAATGATTGAAGTTGTATAGAATGCGTTACATGCGAGGAAAAATTTCAAGAAAATTGCACAAAGTTTATACAATTGCTATTGCAAATAGGTTAGAATTGGCGAGCTTTTATTCTTGGTAAAACCATGAGTAGGATTAATGGAAAGTCGTCACGCGATAATATAGATGAAAGGTTTCTAAATTATGTTAAATAGCTTCATTATCACGTGGCATTTGATTACATTAATACATGCTACAACGATCCTTGTAATGTCGAAACGATGGCAAACAAGATACGTGTATAAAATCAACATCAAACGAATCAAAATTATTTCGTTATGCAACTTTCCATAGAAAATTAAACATTTAAAATAAAAATTTCAATGTTTTGCAATCAACCATTTTGCGGTAACATTATCAAACATCAAAGAATATAGTAGTATCATTCACGTATCATTCAGTGTATATTCACCTTTCTGAACGAAGTCGGAACGGAAGCTAAATTGATACAACATCGTCTGACCGATGCCAAGAAGCGATTATCCACGGCGATCTTTCTCGTGTCTCCAGTACAAAAGTCGGCAAGAGCATCGAGAGACATGTCCACGAAAACCGTGCGAAATCGTTTCGAAGCGGGCCCGCGAGCGTGACCAATCGGCCAAGCGTCCGTCGCCATAGGATACGCAAGGCCCAAAGAAAGCAGGTACACTCCTCTCTGTCTCTCTCTCTCCTCGTGGACCCAAAATAGCCTCGATACCGAGCCGTGTGCTAGGACCACGACGATCTCCATCTTGGAAATAATTAGGGGGACCAAGATCGATGTCCTGGGCCCCGAAAACCACTCTTAGATAGGATCTGGACCCGAGTTTGAATGGAGCCCATTGATGCGTCCGCTTCTCTCTTCTGCTATCAGCGACCACGGGCCCCGGCCTAAATCTCGGATCCCGAGGGGACCGAGAGAAGGTTCCGAGAAATCGAGCGTCCTTTCCGGGACGAATTCTCGAGATAAAAAGGGTCTGAATGAATCAAGGCCAGCCGCACGAGTCTATACGTCGACTTTTTCTTCTTCTTCTTCTTCTTCTTCTTCTTTCTCGGTGAGTTGTCCTCTGTCGTTGTTCCATCGGTTGACTTTTCTCCGACCGAAGTTTCTTTTTCTTGGTTCCTTTGGCTTGGCTCCTCTCTTCTTGCTCGGGCTACGCACAGTTGTTCCTCGGTTGGGGCCCCTCTTCGTTGGTCGACAGGCGGGCCTGTCGCCATCTCGAGGAGATGAGATCGCGCGATAGAAGGACACCCGGTTTTTTTCCTCGCTTTCCGGGGTACCGAAGAAGACGGAAGTCGCGATCTATCTCGGCTATTGTCTTTGTCCTGGGTCTGGTGGGGCTGTGTGTTTTGCGATGAGTTGAACAGATACTTCCTGCGAGACAATATCGATGGAACATCTTGGGATACTTGTGTTTTTTTTTTTAATAAAAATTCAATGCACGACATAAGTCGTTAACAGTTAGAGCAAGTACAGTTAAATATATTCACAAAATTAAAGTATTAAAGTTGTAGATTCTGAAGAGGATATTTTTAATTGTAATAACAAAAAAATCTGAAAAAAATTAAAAAATTTAATATTAATTTGATTTAATTTGGTAATTCTAATGTTAAGTTAATAGATTTTTTAATCCATTTTCAGAATCATCAATTTTTGAATTATTATAAATATAATAACTATTTTAGTACTTTTGAGGTTAAATTACTTTGATTGGATCAATTAAATTTGATGTAATTTTTAGTTGATTCTAACAATACAATTATAGGTTCATATATTAAGACTTTTTTAAAATTATTATTATGCAATATTTTACATTCATTTTATGTACTATGTAAAAGAAAGATTAATAAGCATAGATATATTTTGATATTTGTAGATTATGTGTATAAATAATATATGTGTTGTGTATTTCTTTTTTTTTTAAATATAAAGATTCTGAAAAACTTAAAAGGTATTGTATAGATTTTGATTTCGAATTCTAAAGTGTTTCACCAACCAAAGAAGTAGTCAAGTTTAAGCAAACGCGACACGAAGCCACAAAGGAAGCATTATTTCTTTTCACTCGTCGAAATAGGCGTTCCTCTCCCAAGCCTCGTTAAGAAAGAAAGAAGGGGTTGATCGCGTGTCGATTGTCCAGATATCTACATGCAGCGTGTGCCCAGTGTCTTCCACGTACTCGATGACGAAGTTCCACCTTTGAATGTGCTCGCCAACCACCCGCAAAGCGGGCACGTGGCGGTGCATCCTGTCACGTACCACGAGGAACATCGTCACCGGCTTACGTTCCCTCCTTTTATCCTCATCTTTTCCTTTTTCTCCTCTCTATTCGCGTGGCGGCCTATTGTCGCTAGGTTTGGCCTGGTGTATTCCAGCTAAATCGTTACAACCGGCGGAGCCATTGTCGTTGTCACTTAAACGCGACACGCCGACATTCCTTGTCGCGCATAATAAATGCATTAAAGTGAATCATACTTCGATTCGTATGAAAATTTTTTTTGTCGCCTTTTCTTTCCTTTTGAAGCTAAAAAAAAAAGATACGATTGGAATCTGGTCTTTTGACAAAACTTACATATTTCTAGTGACTTTAATTCAATTTGTAATGTTAGAATAGCTTTCTTATTCTTTTGTATTCTCCATTAGACGATACTTTCAAAATACTTGACATCCATTGTTATTCGTTCATAATGTTTCTGCAATGGTCTTTGATCAATGCTTTTTAACATTTATAGCTTATATTATTTTCTTTTATGATGTTCTTGATCACTATGCCCATCTATAAAATAATAATAATAGACAAAAGTAAATTAATTCTCTATCAAAATTCTTTGAAACGATAGAGAAATTGTCGAAATTGAATATAGAAAGATAGAGAGAGTTAATGAGCCATAATTATTGCGTAACCTGTAGATCGATCACTGTGTCGAATATATCGAAATTCTGGCGGTTGATATATGGCAGCCTATAATTCAACCGTTATATGCTTCTGCCATGAATTCGGATCTCCTTAATTGGTATATACCCATAAACAGTGTTTCGAGCTAAAATTAGATAATCGTCGAGAACGATAAAACGTCAGAAATAGACACTATGGGAAGCGGAAGATCATCTCGATTAAAAAAAAACGCTACATACAAAAATTTGATTGAAACAGTATATTATCACACAATCATTATCATTATTCTCACACATTCTTATTCTTTCATTTTATCAAAATGGCTGCCACGTAATAATATAATAATTCAATAATTTATCTAATTTACATAACCTATAATCTTCTCTGATCAAAATATTCTTACATCATTGTCTGTTAACAAAGATTCAGTATCTTAAATTCTTATTCTTTTATTTAATTAAAAGTTATCCTAACACTTCACTATTTCTTAGAAACCATTACACGCCACTGATCCACGTGTCACGTTCATAATTATTCTGGGTGCACCTGGTGTCGCGCGACTATACCAGAGACGCGTCTGTGAATCGATGACTCAAGCCTAGACAAATCGAACGAGATGTCGCGTTGATTTTCAATCGATCTATCGAGTCACAACCCGACCGATGCGACGCCTGGTAGACGCGCGTTCTACCTCCGATTTCTTGCGCCCTCTTGCGTATTCTACGTATCCAAACGCGACATGTAATCCTGTAATAATGGGGACAATGGATGGTCATTGTTTACACCAAAGACAATCGACCCTATTGTCGATAGTGTAATAAAGAAATGAAGCTTAAGAAAGAAATGTAAAAAGAATCACTCTTTGAAGAGTATTGAATGATATGTAGATGTAAATCGTCGAGCGACGTTCGGTGCATTTTTAAGGAAATGTTTTGAGGTTAGTTAATGTTCGAATATTTTGTTCTGGTGGGAATACTTGTTTTCGTTCATATTGTGAAAGTCACACGAGAGAGGTGAAAGGATGTTTTATAAAAGTACAAGTGTAAGAATTTCCTGGAGTGTGTTTTCATGGAATCATAATGTTTCTCGTGTTTAAAAATAGGAAACAAACCGAATGTTTCGAAAAACTTTTGTGAATGATTCACTCGATATTTCCTCCTTAAAAATTCTACAAGCTAGTCGATCAAATAGAAACCAGTAAGTCAATGTAAATCAATAAAAGTTAAAAACGAATATTGATAGAAAATTTATATATATATATATACTATATATAATACTATAAAATAGAATTACATAAAATGATACGAAAATAGTAACTTAATTGATTTATCAATTCATTTTAGTCTTGGTTAATCGACAACATCGAAGAGAAATTTTGTGGCAATATCGGAAAGGAACGCGCAATGACGATGTGAGATAAAATTATGAAATCTACTTTTACAAATACTTCTACAAGGTAACTTATATTATCGATACATTAATCGACGCGATTTAAAATAAACCGAATAACAATATTAAAATCATCCAATATTTCTCGATGAGCTGAGCAAAAGCATTCGTTCCCTCGAGAAACACTTTGAGCAATAGTACGCATTTTCACAGGCGAATAATTCCGTCAGGATAGCCAGCGTTCCATCGCGGCCAGCGTTAATTACCGTACCCCGCGGTATCTGGCCACGGTATACAGTGGGGATGGGGAAAAGGACAAGAGTGGAACGCAGAAAGAGAATGAATGGCGCGGTCGCGGACCACGGTGGAGAGGCGTTTAATTAATTAACGCTTAGCGAGATTAACAACAGAGGTGCGAGCAGAGATCCGAGATGCATAATGAGTAGCCGAGTGACCCCGTCCGCCGCTCCCCCTGCGCCACCACAGCCGCCCCCCGTACGAGATTCTTTGGGTGGTCCGCCGCCTCCGTCGCCGGCCCATTCGGGCTCGTTACCAAGGCTGGCGACACATTTTATTGCCACTTTTCGTCCGCTTGATTATTTCACGCTTTACGAGGGCCCGTGAGGCCGCCTCTGTCTTCGGGACATCCGGTCGTTCGAATTCTCTCTTCCCCTCGATTATAATTCCTCGGCTTGTACACGATAGGAATGGAAAGCACGGAAATCGAACATTTTGGGAATCTCAGATTTTTTTCAGCTCTAAGCTTTGTAAGTATATATATATATATATAGTGATATAAGGTCTGTATAGAATAATAGAAATAAATATAACTAAGTTTGTTAACTTATTTTTTTAATCTGAATTTATAAATGTTTTTCAGCTTGTTAATAAGTTTGATGATGATTGAGCGAATACATATCAAATACAGAGTTTATTGAGAGAATCGAGAAGAGTGTAGTGCAAGAATATTACTCAAAAATTTTATATAAATATGAGGATTAAATTCACACGTAATATAACTTGTAATCAATGGAGAATCGAGCTGATCGACTAGAGGAATTTCGTTAATTGTCCCATAGAAAGTTATCGTGTATCTAACAAAAGGGACGAGGATTTGCAGCATGGAATTACGGGTGATAAAATGTCGAAGAACCTTTTGACTGACGTATAATGCTCATCTCTCGAGTCAGCATCGAAGCGTGTCCTGAGAATTTGCTCGCGATGGTATAAAAGCCACATAAAGGCGGCCTCGAGTCCGTGGCAATAAAATCAAGTTGAATTTAATTACGCACCGTTATCTTTCCGAGGATCTAGTCGTTTTATCATTAAACCTCCCTTCTACCCCACTTCGTACACCACGGACAGACCACGGCGCGCGGCCATTAAACCCTAACCCGGCTTTATTAAATTTGTAGCCCGTAAGGTTCATCGAAATAATAGAACGTCCGCCCAATTACCAATCCGGGAAACAAAAGCCACTCTCCTTTTTGCCAATAGTAGATCTATACCTAATTTGATTAATCAAAAAATGATCATGATCGAATCGAAGCAAATAATTATATGAAATAATTACGTCAATTTTTTAATGATTCAATAGTTGATTTAATAGCAGTGGATCCAATATTCCACTCGTTAATTCGAACGTAGATTCTTGGTTTGGATGAAAAGGAACGCATAAGAACAGAAGCAGTCAAAAAATGACCTTAGCCATCGCTTGTATTTTCCTTCTTCTCGGAAAGGAATATATCAAAATTACATGATAACAACTTTTCCGCTCGTTTTAAGTTTTCACTGCGAGGAATTATTACAAACTTTCCCTTTCGCAGAACACGGCAAAAACACGCGATCGAGCACGCTCCAACCGAATCCAATTCCCCGATACTTTTCGTTTCTCCTATAACACTGGATCCTATAACACTAACACTTAAGAAATCGTATCGATCCATTCCACGTCTACAAGGCTGAAACTGGATTAACATCAATCGCGTTACGATTTCTCCGCTCGTTTTTCTCCACCGATCCGTCGAGAGCATCGCGGACGTTCATCAATCACGTTTCTCAACGAGGCAGCTACGGTTTACAACCGTGCTCTTACATACAGGAAGCGATACAGCGAACACTTGGAAATCGTGCAACGCTTCTCAACAGGTTTCGAGACCAGATAAAGCGAAACGATCGGTTGATTACGAGCGGCGGCAATTAGTTCGCGCCAGCCGACCGATCCTCCAACCATTCGTTTCTTCGATACCTCACTTCGATGCGCCGCCGTCTTGCGAAACGTTCGTCACCCTTTCACTCGGCGAGAAATTATGGATCGATCGGATTACGGATGGCCCATACGTAACAACGATGTTTTCATTGTGGCTCCTTTACGTTCAAGAAAATATCCCATTGTCTCTCGATTTATTAATTTCACGATCCACGAATAATATCTCGTGGAATAATCTTACGTAATTTTGTAAACAGCGTGAAATAACTGTGCTTACTTGTATCTCGAATCATGATATAGCTAGAAAAAGAAAAAAAAACTTCAATTGTATCACTTCATCACATCAACGGGACAAGAAGTCCGCAAGTTCGTTCGAGAGACGCAAAATCGGTTGGGGTCCAGTCTCGAAGCCTACGTAGCGTGGGGGTATCTCTATCAGAATGTGTTTTACATTAATACTTTAGTGTTTTAGTGGCGATTGCCGGCCGTTAATGCCACTCCGGCTTGAGTGGCCTGGCTCCCGGCTTTACAAATTTATACACTCTCCCGGTCGCTCGTCCTCTCCGATATGATATCTACGTTCAGAGGCAAGAGTGGCCAGGAGAGCCGAGGCCACTCGGCCGGGCCGGCTGACCTTATTCCAGGTTCCGCGGCCGACCTCGATGCCCACCTGACCGATCCACCTTCGCCTCGCGGAACTTCCTCGTGATCGATGCGACCCGATAACTCGGGACGAGTCCTCGCGACCCGATCGAGCCGGGTTGCGCAACACGACACTTCGACACGCTCGCCTCCTCGCCCCCTCCTCTTTAAGTGTGTTTCTTCGTTCACCTGACGTGCCATTAATAACGTGGACGTTTGCTCCCGGAGATATGTACGAGCCTACTCGCGGCCTTACTTCTTTCGGCCGCCGGGGGAGAGGGGCCAGGTGACACTTTTGCATGCCAGACGCATGCGCATGCTCGCGCAGCAGAAGAGTGGTGGGGGAAGGCTCGTGGTAGACGCGTAATTTCGCTTATGACGAAACGGG